CCGCCATGTTGGAAAACGACTGGTGAAGATGGAGCAGCTAGAAGAGCGAGAACGCTGGGACCCTTTTTCCACCTGGATCTCCGCTCTTTTTGGTCCTCATGTCCTTCCGTTGTCGCACAAACTTGCCCCCACTTCCTCAGCGCCTCGGCCGTATCTAGACCCACAGCTAGTTCCTGATTGGCCCTCTGGTGTTGTAGCGTGGAATAACACAGAGCTGACCACGCTTCAATATGGGGCAGAAATAGAAAATATCTGCGACACGCTGCTGAGGAAGAACTTTAACTTAACGCTCTGAGCTCTGTGAGCGCTAAGCTGGAAGCTGCTGCCGCAGTGCATGCTGGGACAGCTGTCAGTCTGGAGAACGGACAAGTCTGCTCTGATGCATGCTGGGTAAAGAGGGAGGTTCTGTTCTCGGTCTGCTGTTCCAGGCTGAATGCGTAGTTACACGTACCGACCGTCAGGAACAAAGTTTTCTATTTTTTTCTAAAGGAATGAAGAAAATGTTCCCGACGATCCGAGCTTCATTTTCCATTCACAGGTCCGTCTGGATGCTTCTGCTCTCCTTCGTTTCCAGGAAGGATGGTGGAACAGCGCCCCCTGGCTGTGGACCTGATCTATGGCTGCTTCAGAAGCACAGGAGTAAAGTGATGGTTTGATAGGAAGTCTGGATCAGAACCTCTGGATCCACTTCCAGGAACAGAGCAGCCCACAGAAAGACAGAGACTAAAGTCCTCAATTTATTTCAATCATTTTACAAACTATAAAAGAGGAGAAAGAGGAGGAAGAGGAGGAAGAGGAGGAGGAGGAAGAGGAGGAAGAGGAAGAGGAGGAGTTCTTCTTCCAGCCAAACATCAGGAATAGAACCAAAACACATAGAGAAGATCCGGGTCCTACAGCAGCCCCTGTCTCTTCAGGTCCTCATACGTCTTCTTGTTGACCACATTTCCAATGGAGTCCTCATACTCCTCCTGAGGGGACAGCAGCAATGAGACATGGGGACAGACAGTGGAGTCCAACAGGTCCTGGTCTCAACGTTAGCTCACCTCGGTGTCTGGCTGCCACCGCTCCAACGCCTTCTGGGACTTCAGCTTGGCCCACACTGAGGAGGACAAACAGAAGCTCAGGACACTGGTCCACAGAGACGGACTCTGCTGCTGGGAGAGGGACTTACAGGAGACGGCGTCCTCTATCTGCGTGACGTTAGCAAAGTGAGCCGTGTTGGGGATTCCCAGACAGCGCATCCCGTGTGCGTGGCGCCACTCCTGGAAGGGAACCACGAGACGTTAGTCCTCTAGGTCTGACGGCGTCCAATCAGGGAGACACTGTCCCCCAGAGGGAGAGAAGAGGAGGCCGTCCCCCAGAGGGAGAGAGGGGGAGGCCGTCCCCCAGAGGGAGAGAAGAGGAGGCCGTCCCCCAGAGGGAGAGAGGGGGAGGCCGTCCCCCAGAGGGAGAGA